TACATCCTTCACTGGAACACATGCCCTCTTTGTGTCCTTCTAAAGCTTTTGCAGAAAAACAATCTATGTGTCCATTCCTCTGTATTTATTTCTAGATCTACATAGTTTACTAGACCAGAAAAAGCAAAGCATAATAAAGACTCTCTCTTTGAACAATCCAATAGCTCCCATGTTTGTTAGAATTGGGTGATACATGTTACCACTCTTCCTTTGCTTTCTGCATTGATAGTTTATCTCTAGATAATTAACTAGATAGTTATCTCTATATAACTGATGATACCATCAGTCAGGAGATAAGTGTTTGGGACTGTTAAACTGGACAAAATTTCCTGTCCTGTGAAGTAAGTTACTATGAAACCCCTTTCCATAGGCCTTGTAGAAGTAGGATGAATGTATAATTGTATGGCATTGGCTAAATGCTGAACAAAAGCTGTACCTGGAGACTTGTCTCAGGTATTTGATTTATGGCAGGAAGGCAGATGTCAGCATAATCACATGAAAGGTGGCAGTGGCAGAGGAGAAAGAACATGACATAAAAATCATATATATATGTATTTTTATTTCCCTTTCACTTAGGGCCAATTTTTCATATTCACAGACTTTTTGCGTTGTGAGAATATATGGGTCATGTGACACATAGTAATGGCTGTTGCTCATACTCATGGATTCTTTTCTAGTTCATCCTTCCTTCTGATGAGTATGTTTTTAAAAAATAGTGTGACCAAAATGTGGTAAGTTATTTACATGTTGATAAGGTGGAAAAAAATTAATTGTAATTATAAATACCCTTTACTTTCACTATTTTTCAATGCCCTAGTTTGAAAAAAAAATCCAACAGACATTTCTTCCTGACCAAATTATAGGGATCACACTCCTAATATCCATCACTACTGATAGATCTTGAAATCACATAATGTTCATAATAGTTCTCATGTTAGCTAACTATTATAAACTATTGTTTTCTTCTAAATGGAAGCAAAAATTGATAACAACATAGGCAACATATCGACCTCATGAAAATAACTTATTGTGAAGAAGTAAAATTTGAAGTTGTTTTTCCCAGTTCAATTCAATATACAGACAATGAATGCATGACCAAAAACAGAGCCAAGTGATATACCTTCTAGAGTGAAGGGGCACATTCCAGCCTTGTAGGACCTGGAATGGAAGGAAATTTATAAACAGATAAGTCTAACACTAAGTGCTACCTGTAATATTGAAGATATGCTCAAAGTCAGGTGCACAGAATGATTCCTGATTATGGTCATCAAGGAAGGTCATCTGAGAAAAGCTCTATAAAAGACTTTTAAACCACACATATAAGTTTAATAGTAGAGAAAGAAGGGAAAACAATTTTAAGGAAAAGAAACCTAAATATACAAAATATACTTCAGACCGAGGGTACTAAATATGCAAAGGCACCTATCAGAAAGCCAGACGTTTTTTTTTCCCCATCTTTATACCTTTACATATGTAATTTTCTTGCCTGAAATTTGTGAAATTTTTTACATGTTCTGAACTCTTAAGATTCTGAAGTCATTTGTACATTCATATTACACACCTATATACACATTCATATATAGGAATCCCCCACTGTTCGCTTGTACCATTCATTTTTATAAAAGACCCTTATTAGTATCTGTTTTCACTAAAAGAAATCTGAACAGGAGTCAAAAAAAAAAAAAAAGAAAGAAAGAAAAGAAAAAAAAAAGAAATAAGAGAGAGAGAGCCATTCTAGAGTCAGGGCACCCCAGGAGGCAAGAGTAACATCTCCAAGCTCCTTCCTTGGGAACTACTTTATACCAGCGGGTGTATTCATTGTATGATTCCTGCTTTTGCTTCATGTGAATGTTTCTTCAGGTTTTGTGTATTATTTGGTATGACCTGGCAGGCTAGTTTTGGATGGAAGGCTACTTTTATTTTCCATTTAAGTTGATGTAACTGTTTCTTCAATTATGCCATTTTGGCCTGTGAAAGATTCTATAGTATGGCCTACTTTCTGATAGCAGGGAAACCTGTATTATATATAAAATATATGTGTGTGTGTAAATATACATGCATTGACTAAGTTTAGAATTTTTAAGTAGTCAGATGAAATTATTATAAGTACTTCAATTTTCTAGTAACTTTCTTCAAGCAAGAAGGCAATTCTAATTTTCAAGCCCTGAGATTCTCCCTGTACCTAGCCCAAGTTCATTTCCCTTTGTCATACTACAATGGAGGGAAAACAAAGTCATCTTTTGTTTCAGTTTGAAAATCAAAATTTTAAATGCTATTCATTAAATGAGTACAAACACTGGAAACCAAACCAATTTTACATAAATAAATTAAATTATGAAAACAGTTTGGGGATGCTGACCTACAGCAAACTTGATCCAAGACAATTATAACAGAGGAAAAACCTTGACTTCACAGTAAGGGAAAATCTGACATAAATCCATACTATTTTTAGAAGTAATTAAAATTCCAAGTGTCCTGAAGTAGAATTGAAGTATGTTCAGAGAGTGACTAGGGTATTGAGGGTGCCTGAGAACATGAGGACTCTTGGTGTGGAAGGGAAAAAACTGGAAAATTCTGGGTACTCAGGTTTGTGTTAATATTTGAAAGGTTTTATTGAACAGATGGATTTAATTTATGCTATATGGCCTTTAGGGAGTGAACTAGAAGCAAAACACGAGTGCTTTGAGAAGACCAATTTCAGAGCCTTTCCCACATAAGAACTCTCCTCCATTCAAGGCCCAGACTGTGAGAACTCAACAATAGCCACAAGGGTTGTATGTATCTTTTGACTCAAGGAACAAGAAAGCAGAGTGTTGATTAAATCAGACTTGGGTCACTTTACTTTCTTTATAGTATCCATATTTTCTTATCTTTGTTTCTCCACATAATGGTTTGGCTTCTTTTTTATGGTGTTAGAAAACATAGTTTGTAGAATAAAATGTGATGATAACTATTCGAATACAACACTTTTCACATCCAATCAACCAATAAGAAGTGGTCCTTCTTTTAGGGTTAGCAAGCTGGTTTTCATTTCTATGCACATTTGGAATCTTGACAGGTAACAATTAATAGTACACAATGATGATTATTTTTCAGAATACTTTTTCAAGAAGTTGGGAAATTTTACTGTAGTATTACGATTTTTTTTATTTTTGGAAGGACTAACAGAAATTGGTGAATTGATTGTTGGGTGAATGAATGGATAGATTGATAGAGGAGAAGCAGAGAATATGAGCATTCATAGACTGAGTTTATGTTAAATGACCCTCATATATTCTTGAGCTTTAAGATGATAGGATTGCCAGTCAGCTAAAAGGAAAATCTAAAGTTTAATGTATCATTTTATTGTTAAAATAATGTAAAAAATATATTTCTAATGTCACAGAATCATTATTGAACTGTTTGCTAGATAGTTTATATACATCATACTTATTCCATCATCTTTTTTTTTTTTTAACAAAGAGGAAACAAAATATAGGTAATACCCAGAGTTCTAGATCAACAGAGCCAATATTGGAGTTCCATTGTCTTCAGAATTAAAATTCTTGATCTCTATAGCTACTGTCTCCCAGAAACACAGACAAAGAACATGTAGAAGAATAAAAAAATATAGAAAATTCTGAGTATTTTTCATATATGATGAATTCCAGAAAAATCAGCACCAGATGATATAAATACCAAGCAACTTGACTGGTATATTATGAGATCATAAAAGAGAAGAACTCAGCATTACCTACTAAAAATGATCAAATTTGACTGATCAAAATGCTAACACACCCAATTACAGAAAACACAAGGATAGATATACTAAGAAGGACACAAAAACAAAATCATCAAGACAATTAGAAATATGCTGGAAACTAAAAAAAAAGGAATGGAAGGGGGAAAGAAATTTATGATACTTATCAAGTGGCCATCATATGTGGCCCTGGTTTGGATTATTTTTCACAAACATAAATTACAAGAATCAGGAATAGTGTTTAACACTATTAAGAAATTATCTTTATTTATAAGTGTAAAGAGATATTGTTTTGCATTTGTAATTTTAATAAAATTATTTTAATAAAATATTATTTTATTTTTAATAAAATATTCACACATGAAATAAGATGCCTTAGATTTGCTTTCAGAATAATCTAGTAACAGGGAGTATGTGGAGGTATAAATGATAAATATTTAACAATGCCTTGATAATGATTTGATCTCGATTCAATATAATATTTTCCCCTCCTTGTGTAGGTGTTTGGAAAGTCATAATAAAAGCTTTTGAAATGGCATTATAGGGTGTGGATTTAAAAGTACACACATTCAGAGTTTGTAAGTACACCCTTTCTAATACTTCACACTTACATATGCCCTGGGAGACAGTTGTCTCCAGCACACTGTTGAATACACAAACTGACAAGAAAATTGGGTATAGATGTTCACATTAACAAATCCCTCTACCTGAGTTAACAATACAGTTCCTTTCACTCTTTCTGTGTCAATTCACCTGAATACCTTTATAATGAAAGCTAAATTTTCAGTGACATCTCAATATGGACATTTATGATAAAGGGCAGATTTAAAATGGTTAAATTTGGGCTTAAAATTGTAAGTCATGGCCCTCCCTGGTGGCGCAGCGGGTTAAAGCACAGCATTGAGAAGCTAAAGCCACTTCCGCATGAGTTCGATTCCCACCTGCGCCAGAGGTGACCACATGGCGTGGCAGACCTCTCCTGACCCGCCCCCTGCCCCCTCAGCAGTGTACTTCGTAGATCTCTCTGTTCTGCTTCCTACTCTGTCTCTGGTGAAGCCTCTCACTGCCCCTGAGCCTCTGGCCTGTACCCCAGGTCTGTATGCACAAATAAATAAATCTTTAAAAAAAAATTGTAAGTCACTAAGGTTATTGGTTCTTATGTGTGTTTTTGCATATGATAATTTGCAGAAAAGAAAAACATTGGTGTTTGAGTTATAAATTTTCACTCATCTCTTTCTTTTTCTCCATGTTTTCTTTCTAGATATTTCCACACAATATACTTAGGTATTCGAAGTCGACAGAGTGGGGAGAATGACAGATGGAGGTTTTACTGGAAAATGGTGTATGAGTATGCAGACGTGAGTATGCTGCATTTGCTAGCCACCTTTCTGGAAAGTGCACCCCAGCTGGTCCTGCAGCTCTGCATTATCGTACAGACTCATAGATTACAGGCCCTCCAAGGTAAGGGCTTGCCACTTGGCTTCTGACTTGGGGGAAAGATTGACTGACTACTTTTGTCACAATCCAAGGAACTGTTCTAATATCCTTTGTTGTCACAGGCCTTGTTGGTAACAGGTACTTCATGTTATATGTCTGCTGTTTGACACTTGGGTTTATGATTGATGTGTATTTTCTTCTCTATTACTTGTCATGGATAACTTATAAAGAAAATGCTTTTTGTTCTCCAGCTGTTTTTGAAGAGGAATTTTTTTTTTAATCATTTTATACTTGGTCATATGGGAAGAACATCAACTGAGGCTTTCTGCTTTATATGATAGAGAAATTTCCCAAAAATTTGAAAAAGAATCACAGTGTCTTTCTTTCTCTCTCTGTTTCTCTCTTTCTTTTTTCTCTCTCTTTCATTCTCTTTCCACTCTATCTCTTCACTCTCTCCAGTATTTTATGTATGTGTGTGTGTATGTACATATACATGTAATTTAAATAGTGGGACAATTTCTGTCATTCCCCTTTGGCTTGAAGAAATACAGACATTGCCTTAATATGTTTTAAAAGCATATAATATGAAATAAATGACAACATTTTTCAATACATGGTTTATATACTAAGTTTTATAAGATTAGTATTTTTACATGTTGCTGTCTTGCTCACTATTGTATAAATTAGAGTATTCCATTTACAAAAGGATCTGCTGTTTTCTAGAAGCAAGCTGTTCAAATTTTTTCTAGAGCTAGGAAGTTTAGACAGACCAGTGGGTGGACAGGTGAATAAATGGGAGAATGGAAGATGGATAGATACCATTTCCTAGGTAGAGTTTCCTAGCTATTTGTCAGTCCTGTAACTGAATGCCACAGTTGAATGCCACAGCTGACATGTGGTGATCGGCGTGTTTGCTCCATCTCAGCAGGGCCGACATTACTTCCTCTCTCATACAAGCATTGCTGTCATGTTTGGGTCTTGCTGTAACTTGTGATGTGATCTGGTTAGTCTGGGGAATCCTAATATTTTCTAGAAAGGAGCACATTTGTTTATTCTGACTGCTTTAATGTGGAGGGCGCATTATACTGGAATTATATAGAAAACTTGTAGCCAGACACTTATTTATTCCTAGAACCCTGTCTTAGCTGCATTTCACCCTGTCCTAGGATTCTAGGAACAGAGCTTGCGGTCTAAGGTTGAAAATAATGAAACTATTGAAAATAACATTACCATGAAAATTGTGGAATAAAGGGATTCTGTGTTGGTTGTTTCATATCCTTTGGGTATGTGTTTAAAAGTGGGATTGTGGGACTGCAAAGTATTTTTAGTGTTTAAAGATAAATTCAGATTACTTTCCATAGTCATTATAACAGTTTCCACTCTAGAATAACTTTGATCCAAGAAGTTGAGAAAAGAATCAGAGACCCATGGGATGTCATTTTGAAATGCTAGAAAGCAAGTTGGAAGAAGAAAAAAAAAAACAGTGTTTGCATAGAAATAGAAAAGACAAGCTAAGAGAAGGCCAAGCCTTTTGTATTTCTGTCTCATGATTTGTGTGTATCTTTGTTAAGTGGTGAAAGACCCACGGAGTCCATGAAAGTTCTGTCTTATTTATCTTACTGTCTTGCTTGGTGTCCTTGTGCTTGCTGCTAATCTCTCTGGCATCAGTTTCTCAAATGAAAATATCACAAATTAAACTGGATAATCTCCCAACCTTAAATCGCTCTGTCCACCTTTGTATCGAGGACTGCCCAGCAGGCTTACAATGCCAAGTGTATATATGTTAGGTTGATCTGTAAACGAGGATATAAATGAAACGGAAAGTCAAAGTCAAATCGAGGAGTCATCTCCAGAACTTCTTGGCAATTCCCTGGTATACTTATATGAGTGAGAACTCTCTAGAGGACGAAAGCCCAAGCGTTGAAAGTCACTTTCCTATAGCACAAGTCTCCTGAGTGCCCTTACAAGTTTTTAAAGGATTTAGAAAATCATAGAAGTAGTTGTTATACTGACATGAGACAAAGGAGAAAAGTACAGAGAAAATCTGAGATGTGATTACGTTTTCAGTTTGAGAATTTTATGTAAATTTTATAGAAAAATAAAATAGGGAGAAAAAGCAATCCTTTGTGTGCCTTAAAGTAGTAGTTCCACCCTGCAGTCCTCTGCCCCCCAATTTATCTGCTAAAGTCACACTTTGGGAGCTGAATCTCATCCACATCCACCATCTCTTACACCCCCGTTTCCCTTTCCCTCCTAGCCAACCCCCATCAACCTCACAGCCTGCACAGTGCTTATTGATACCAACTGGGTTTTTTTATTATTTATTTATTTATTTATTCGTTCAAAACTGGGGTACAGGCCAGAGATACAGAGGGTGAGAGGATTCACCAGAGACAGAGTGGGGAGTAGAACAGGCAGATCGATGAAGCACACTGCTGGGGGGAGCAGCAGGCGGGTCAGGAGAGGTCTGCTGCACCATGTGGATCTTCTCCCAGGCAGACGGGATTTGAACTCATGCGGAAGTGGCTTAAGCTTCTTTGTGCTGTGCTTTAACCTGCTGCGCCCCCAGGGAGGGCCCATATACCCACTGGTTTTTGAAAATATAATTGAATTCTCTGGTATGTAAATGTCCAGCACTTGTTTTTATTGTCCTAACTTGCTTTCCTACAGATAATTCTCACCAACTCCCTCCATTTTGTTGAAAATAACTGCATTTCATCCTTTCTGGTATCATCTTGATCTGTCAATGAACATTTGCTTTCACTTCCTAGCTATTATAAATAATGTTGTTATGAACATGTGGAACATACGGGTTTTGTGTTGGTTGTTTCATATCCTTTGGGCACGTGCTCAGGCATGGCATTTCCATTTTTAGTATTTAAAGGTAAATTCAGGTTATTTTCCATAGTGTATGCCCAATTTATGAATCCATCAAGAATGTAACAGGATTTATTTTTCTTTGTATCCTTTCAACACTTTTTGTTAGAGGTCTTTTTTATATGTGCCATTCTCATGGGTGGGAGATTTTATTTCATTGTAGTTTTTTTTTTTTTAATAGTTTGTTTTTACATCATTTTGTGCCTTTTTCCATCTCAGTTGTAATCCCTGTGGGCTTCCCACCACCAAATCACCCAGGTGCCATCACCATAGTCCAGTGCACGTCCCACCTCCCCATTTTGGATCCCATCCCCCACTCCACACCCTATAAACTGTCTCTGGTATATAGTTGTTCATTATTATTTTTTTTCCCCTGGTCCTTTATGCTCCTGCTATGAGTGAAACCATCTGGTATTTTCTTTTTCTCTCTGGCTTATTTCACTAAGCATGATCCCTTCCAACTCCATCCATGTTGCTGCAAAAGGCATGAGTTTATCTTTTTTGATTGCTATATCTCATTGTAGTTTTAACCTACATTTCTCTTACTGGAAGTGGCAGTGAACCTTTTTTCATATGCCTGTTAGCCCTTGTTCTGCCCTCTTTGGTGAATTATCTGTTTATATCAGTTCCCCACTTACTCAGTAATTTTTTTTTTTAATGACTGAGTTGTGGGATATATACTGACTATTCAACCCTTATGTGAATTGCGTTAATATTTTCTCTCAGTCTCCCATTTTTTTCTATATAGAAATTTTTTTTTAATTTTTTAAAAATTTGCTTTAAAAGATTTATTTATTTATTCATACAGAACTGGGGTACAAGTCAGAGTTACAGGGGTGGTGAGAGCCTACATCAGAGACAGTGGGGAGCAGAACAGGCCGACTAACGAAGGCTAACGAAGTACACTGCTGAGGGGAGCAGCAGCTGGATCAGGAGAGGTCTGCGTCCCATGTGGTGACCTCTGGGGCAGGCTGGGATTGAGCTCATGCTGAAGTGGCTTTTAGCTTCTTAGTGCTGCGCCAGCAGGGAGGGCCCTGAAGATTTTTAACTTGAGGTAATCTCATTTTTTATTTTGTTTCCAGTTCCCTTGCCATAGGAATTATCAGAAATATCACTGCTGATATCAAGGGTATATCAGCAATATTTCTGTTTTATTATTGCAAGACTTGCATTAGCTTTTTAATACATTTGAAGGTAATTATTATGTATGGGGCTAGCACATGATCCAACTTTATTCTTTTATGTGACTTCCCAGTTTTTCCAGCACCATTTATGAAAGAGACTGTCATTTTTCCATTTTATGTTCATGGTTCTTTTCTCATAGATTAGTTGCTGGTACACATGTGGATTTATTTCTGAGCTTTCAATTCTCTCCCATCAATCCAGGTGTCTATTTCTGTGCCAATATCATATTATTTTTAGTACTATAGATTTATAGTAAAATTTGAAATCAGGTAATATGATACCTCTGTTTCTTTCTTCCTTTCTCAAGGTTGCCTGTGCAATTCATGGTCTTGTGTGTTTCCAGATAAACCAGTATTCTTTTCCTCTATGCTTTTAATATTCTATATTTGTTACTTGTTTTCAATAGCTTTATTATACTGTTTCATAGCTTGTGTTTGTGTGGTTTCATTTTGTTTGGAACTCTTTGGGTCTCTTGGATCTCAGTGGTTGGTTTGTTGCCCAGAGCGAGATGGTTTTCAGTAATTATTTCTTTAAATAATAAATTTTCTATGTCTTTTTGTTCTTTTTCTCTTTCTAGGATCTCCATGATACAGATATTATTTCTCTTTAAATCATCTGAAGGGCTTTTACAGTTTTCTTTTTTTCTTCTAGATTGTTTGACTGCTATAGGAGTCCTTTAATTATTTGGTTTTTGTTTTTTAGTTTAGTTACAGTGTTTTATAGATTCATTATTTCTAATTGTACTACCTTATATTTTCTCTACCTTTATTTTGTTGATGTTTTGTATCTTCTGTTTTTGTTTTGTTTTGTTTTGTTTTGAGTTCTGTAGGTATTGTTTGAACTGTCATCTTGGACTCTTCATCAGTCATGTCTTGCTAGGTTGGGACTCCTCTGGGGACATTTTTTTTTTTTTACTCCAGCACTTCTGGTATGTTCTCCTATGTTCTCATTTTAAATGTTTA